AAACCATCCGATAGGGAATTAATATCCAAATATATAAGGAAATTGTATAATTTAATGATAAATGACAAATTGCCTAATTAAAATATGGGCAAAGAATCAGAATACTGACTAGACATTTTTCACACTAAGATATACAAATGACCAATAGGTAATGAAAAAAATACTCAGTATCACTAATCATCAGGGAAGTGCAAATTAAAGCAAATGGACATACTATCTCACATCTGTTAGAATGGCTATTATCACCATTACAGGTGGTGGTGCACACCTGTAATCCCAGCACTCTGGAAGGCAGAGGCAGGAGGACTGCCATGAGGTCAGCCTGTTCTACAAAGTAAGTTCAAGGCCAACCTGAACTGGATAGTGAGATCTTGTCTTAAATAAAACAAAGAAAGAAAGAAAAAAGGCTGTTATAAGATGAAAAATAACAAGTGCTGGTAAAGATGTGGAGAAAAGGGAACCCCTGCACCCTGTTGGTGGGCATATATAAATTAGTACAGCAGAGCCAAGTGTGGTGGCACATGCCTGTAATTAAGCTCTCTGGCAGGCTGAAGCAACTTAGCCTTATTTACAAGACCTTGTAAATAAAAATAAAAACAAAGCAGGCAGTGACCTGGGGATGCAGCTCACAAGTGAGAGTACCAGCACCATGACCAAAACAAAACAAAACAAAACAAAAAGCTAGTTCAGCCAGCATAGAAGATTCCATAAAAAATAAAAACTAGAACGTGATCAACAGCATGAGTGAGCCTGGAAGAAGGTTATGTTGTAAATGAAATAAGCCAGACACAGAAAGACAAATAAGGCATGATCTCACTAACATGTAGAATGTAAAACAGTCGACCTCATGGAGAGGAGAAGAATAATGGTTGCCAGGGGCTGGTAGGCTGGGGAGATGCGGTTAAAAGATACAAATAGTCAGAAACATAATTTCAAGAACTCTGTTGTAGAACATATGACTATAGTTAATAACAATTTTTTTTCTTTTTTGTAGCATAGGGACTGAACCCAAGGGCAGTCTCCCACTAAGCTTCAACTCCATGCCTATGTTTGTGAAGCTGAGAGAATGTCAGGCTTAGTTGACCAGGATATCCTTAAACTGGCAGTCTATCTGCCTATGCTTCCTGTATAGCTAGAATTAAAGCTATGCACCACAGTTCCTGGCTTGTATTGTATGCTTGAAGATAGCAATCTTTAAGAGAAAGAAAAAAAAAGGTCAAGGTTTAGGATAAAGCTCAGTGGTACAGCCCTTGCTTAAAAATGTGCAAGGCCCTGCTTTAGATCCCCAGCACCACCAAAGAAACTTGCTAATTAAAAGTAAAAAAGTGGGCTGGGGACTTCTGTTAGAATGGCTAGCATAGCACTTCAGCAGCATAGCACTTGCCTGGCAAGAGCAAGGTCCTAAATTCAAATCCCAGTACCCCAAAAAGTAAAAAATAAAAATCAAGCGGTAAGTATGTGGAGAAATGTGAAATTACTTAGTTTGACTTGACTGTTTCATATTGTATACTTATTTCAAAATACCATATTGTACATGATATATATACATATAATTTTGATTTGTCAATTTAAAAATTTTTTTTTACAAAAGGAAAAGCAGACAGAATTCATTTACAGTGAATGAAAACAGGATGCTGAGAACTGTGTTAACCAGTTTTGTTACTGTAAAAAATATCTGCGATAATCCACAGCTAAGGCTTATTTGGCTCACACTGTTGAAATTCCCTGGCCAGGGAATTTTGAATTTCAGGGAATTTTGAAGTGCCTGGCCGGGTTGACCCCTTGCTTTGAAGACTCAGGTGGAGCTGCTAGATGACCGTGGTGAGGGGCACGTGCTACTATGGCAAAACCACCAGCCTCATCATGGCCAAGAGGAAGAGATGGGGCCCCAAACTCCTCTCTGAGGGCCACTTACTAATGACCCAAAGCCCTTCCACCAGGTCCTGCTCCTAAAGGTGCCACCACCTCCCCAGAGGACTTCCCTGGCAGTAAGTGTTTAACACGTTGGTCTTTCAGGGAGGTTCCAGATCCAAACTGCAGCACCACTTCTGGGGAGTGGCCAGAAAGAAGGGAATCAGGGGGCCTTGGGAGCTCTGTAAAACTGTTCCTCTATCTGGGTGGTGTTACCATGGGTTTAGTCACTTTGAAAATCTACTCATCTCTGCACTTAGGATGTATGCACTTTGCTGTAGATCACTTATGCTTCAATGAAAACTTCAAAGAACACAACAAAAAGCTAGAAGTCACCCGAGGTGGAAGGGAGGCTGAATCTCCTGACCCAGGCCTCTCCAGAACTGGGCTTTTCACAGTGGTGGCCCTGTTGTGTTTGGTACTGCATGCATGCATGGCACTGTATGTTTGGGTAGAACAAGCTTGCCGTGGAAAGAGTGCCAGGCTGCTCAGAGCACTGGCCCTAGCCTGGCCTCATCATGCACAGGTTGTGTGACCTTCTACTCATCTCCACCTCCATCTGTCAGGACACCTGTGGCATTCAGAGTTCTCCAGTCCAAAAGAAGGTCCAGAAGGAGTGGTGTCCTTCTGCGCCATCCAACAGTGTAGTTTCTTCTGTGTCTGGGGAGGAGGTGACAGCCAGCCTCAGGCTGCCTTACAGGTTCTTGACCCTGAGAAGAGTAGGCACAGTGCTCAGAGGAAGGAGCAGAGCAGACTCAGAGAGGCGAAGGACATGGCAAAGGGTTCCGGATGAGCTGTGGAGAATCCCAGTTGGAGCTCCCGGTACATCCAGTGCAAGGATCAGGCTTTGTCCTGAGGAGATGGACTGCTGAGGAAGGTGCTGCACTGTTGTCAGAAGATCCATCTGTCTTTCTATTATTGCTTGAATATGGTTTGCTCCCCAATCTACTCCCCAAAAAACCCCTCAGGTTGAGGTTTCTTTCCTCCACATGGCCTTGGTAAGGGTTGGAACCAGGCGGGAGGTGTCACAGAAGTGGAGCCCTCATGAATGAATGCCTTGGTTGGGAAGATGGGCTCCCTACCCGAGGTGTCTGGCCCCTTTTCTGGTTTTCATATGTCTCCTTTCTCTCCTGCTCTTGGCTATGAGTTGAAGCTGCACGAGGACCACACCCAACGTAGCTGCCCAATTTTGGACTTTCTGGTCTCTAGGACCATAAACTAAAATAAACCTTTGCTTCTTTACAAATCACGCAGTCTCAGATGTTCTGTTACAGCAGCACAAAACAGACTAGAATACTGCCACATGGAGGAGAGGGAGAGAAGGATAAGGCTGGGGCAGAAACCCTAGAGGGGAGGCCACAGAGCCTGAACCAGCAGCTCACACCCTGATGGAGGGCAATGGGGCTACAGGGGCGGTAAACCCAGCACGAGGAGCCCTCAGGTGGTGGGTGAGGTGAAATGGAGAGCGTAGCAATGCCTACGGGCCTCTGTGCCCACTCCCTACAGTCCTCCGTACCAGAAGCCTGGCAGGAGGGCAGCATTCAGTGCCAGCTAAAGGAGCTAACAATGCCTCACATCCACAAGCTGACAATTGAGGCCTCCATTTGAAATCCTCACTGCTCCCCTCCCAGCAACACACACATACACACACACACACACACACACACACACACACACACACACATACACACACACCACTCTATAAACAAGGACTGCACCTTTATGCTGCTTTCACACTGTCATTGTCATTTGTACATGTTTGCTGACACCCTTTTTGGGCCAGCCCTGAGCAGCTGAAGGAGTGTAGTGATGGTAGTTTCAAGGCCACCCCAGTCAGTGTTTCCAAGAGTGAGGCAGGGATTTGGGTAGAGAGAATGCTGGTACCACAGACAGACCCTTAAGGGCCAGCTCCTGAGCGGTGGGAGGGTGAATGGGACTGGGGAAGCCAGGCTGGGGGCAGGGGCTTCTACTAGAGACAGAGGGAGCTAGGGGCATGACCAGGAGTCAGAGGCTGATATGGTGACCCAACTCTGCAAAGACCAGGGCTGCAAGTGTGATGGCTGACAGATCATTTGTGTTTTCGTTTTTGTGAAGGTATTCATTGCCTGTCACCCTTTATCCTACTCATTTCCCATCTTCCCCATGGCCACCTTTTTAACAGTGTTCTTAGTATGTCTCTTTGTCCTGTGGAGGGCATATTGTGACCTCCCAGGACCCCATGTTCCATGTGCCTGCACTGAGAAACTGAAAGCAGGATGGGGAGAGCTGGGCTTGGGCCAGGGCCACCTCAGTCTCCTGGCTCCTGGGCCGCTCAGGGCTCCAGGCCCAGGTTCCTGCTCGAGAGCCAAGGCAGCCTGGCTCCATGAATCACTCCAGCCAACGCCAGGCAGGCTGGCACCAGCTCTGGGAAATCCTGTCTTTCTCCTCCCTCCCCTCTCCTTATCATTTCTGTGTATGTCTAATTCATTCTCCACCCAGCTGTGGAGTGATTTTTTTCTAACATGCACAGCCAATCAGGTGGCTCCCTGCTAGCCAACACAGAGGACCAGAGGGCAGAGCCATGCACACGGCCCACAGGCCTCCAGCTGGTCCTGTGGAGATGGTGGGGGCTCTGGAGCACAAACGTCCCCCACAGCATAAGGAAAAGAGCTGGGCTCTGGGCCTGACTCTGTGTGGCCCTGAGTCACGAGGCCTGACTCCACAGCTGTTCCCCTTTTGGGTTTTGGAGCTGGGTCCTGCCTAGAATGTCATGCGGAGGAGGAAGCTGGAAAGCATCTGTAAGCAGGGTGGACAGGGGAGAGGAACCTCTAAAAGGGAGATCCCAGCCTAAAGTTCCAGTGGGACTTGGGCAGGAACAGGAATAAGCCAGGAGCCCAAAGGGCTTCTTCCTTAGGGTTAGCCTTGGTGACCAGCTTGTCATGGCCTTGGCTCTTAAAGATTTATATCCCAAGAAAGCCTTCAGTCACTGACAACCCAGGACAGTGGGTCACCCTAGGCAGCTCCTAGCCCTGGCCACATCCCGCAAAGAAGGCACAAGGTTGGGGACAGATGCACCTGAGGACCCCCAGCAATGATGTTCCTGCTCTTACCAGGGTGGGTGGAGATGTGATGCCTGGACCCCGTGGCACTGGTGCTGCTCACTCTCTGGCAAGGGACACACCTGACAAAAAGAATTGATCAGGTCACAGAGCCATTTCTCTGTCCTGCTGTGCAGTGTGACTCCAGGCAAGCCCTGCCCTCTCTGGCCTGTAGGCTCTCAGCATGAAATGGTGGTGAGGGAGACACTTCTCAGTCTTTTCCAATCTGGTGGGTTTGTCACCAGAATAGCATCTTTCCTCTTCTTCCTGGATGGTAAGTCTGTGATCCTAGCACACCTGCTTCCAAGACTCAAGGTGTGAAACCTAATGACCTATGGTGCCCATTTCTCAGACAGTGAAACTGAGATTCCTACCCTCAGCTTAAGCTCCTTCACAATCTTAGAAATGAGTTGTGCTGTTCTCACTGCACAGATCAGGGACAGAGGCTCTGAGGGGTAAGAGGAGCATTTAAGGCAGAGGCAGAAGCCTGGCCCACCACTCTTTCCTTAGGCCAAGACAGAGATGCCTCACACCTGGACTTTCTCTCTGCCTGGCTAAGAGGCAGTGAGGAGCCAAGCAGGTTCTGCCCTAGACCTCAGGAGGGTAGAAGATCTACTCTAAGAAGGAGGAGGTCCTTCAGACAGGGCCAGGAAAGCTGCATGGAGGAGGTGGCATTTGAGCAGGCCCCCACAGGGTAGAGTACAATTTTGAGATTGAGGTGGAAGGTTTTTTGGGGAAAGACATCATTTAGGCCAGAACGGAGGATGGGGTGCAGGACAGAAGGAAGAGAAAGGAGGGACTAGCACAGAGCTACTGCCACAGACAGGTGGTGGCAGATTCTGTAAGCCAAGCTAAGAATGTAGGGGTGTGACACTATGTGACAAATTCATAAAATACTTAACAGGAAAGGAGGCCCAGAGTCCACGCTGATACAGGAAGTGGGATCAGGCTGCAGAAAAAGGCTGAGAGAAGCATGGACCAATAAAGACTCATGCTGGGATGGGCCCATGGCATGCAGGTCTCTGCCTAAGGGGCTGGCTGAAGTCCCTCCTTGGAGGCTCACCCCTTCCTAGGACGGCAGACCTGTCTCAGGGTGAGCAGCATGTTGATCACCTTTCCAGGTTGCCTGCACTGCTCTCAGCCATGTCCTGTTCCTGCCCACAGTAGCCTTGAAGGTCAATGCCCCCTCTCTATGCCCAGGCAAGGTGACAATCAGAGACTCAGAATGGCTGGACGGCCTGGAGATGCCCTGTGCTGCCCACATGCCCATCCTTAGATGGCTGAGGGAGGAGCAAGGTGGTTAATTTCTCTGGGCTTCTGGCTTCTCCTCTGTGACATGAAAGCTTTTCCCCTCCACGGGCCCAACTTGTTCCTCTCACTGCCCTCCCCTCACTTCTGCTCCAAGCAAGACTGGGCCCCAGTAAACCTTAGTACTCTCATCTGTATCTTGTCAGGTGATGGTGAGGCTCCAGTGTCCCTGCTTGGAAATGCCATTACTGAAGGAATGTCCAAAATGAATCATACTCCACCCTGAAAGACCTAGTCAAATGCAGGTTGGGATCCAGTCACTGGGCAACCTATGGTCACACATCACCTCACCCCTTCTCCCAAACATCCCTGAGCTCTGGCCACCATGGCTCAGGCTGGGCCCCAGGGTCAGTGATGCAGCAGCCCAGGCCCTGCCTGCAAGCTTTCTGGCTGAGGGGGTAATGGGAGATACACCCAGACACACAGAGGAACCAGGGAACCAGGACTGCGGCTTGGGAAGCCAGCAGCTGTGGGCACCCTGGATTGGGGGCAGGGGTAGAAGACTGGGCACAGTGCCTGGATGACACTGCGTGATGCCTGCAGCAGGCTAAGGAATGGCCCCCAAAGATACATCCAAATCTCTATAGAACTTCTGACTGCTGTCTTATATGGCACTAGGGACTTGCAGATGTGATTAAGGATCTTAAAATGGAGAGATTATCCTGGCTTATCTAGATGGGCCCTATATGTAATCACAAGTATCCTCATAAGAGGGAGACAGCATGGTGGTACGTATGTATGTAGTGTCAGCCTGTCTGTCTCGGCTGGAGGGTACGTGCTTAATGAGGCCATGGGCTCAGTCTCCAAGGGAGGGGAAACAGAGGGAATCTGACCAAGGAAGAGAAGAAAGCAGTGTCAGAGGGAGCAGAGAGCAAGGTGAAGTGCTCACAAGAATGCCAGCAGCCACCAGAGCTGCATGAGACAAAGAATGCATTCTTGAGTCTCTAGAAGAAAACAGCCTAGGTTTCAGCCCCATAAGACTCGTTCCAGACTACTGACCTCGAAAACTCTAAGAGAATTAACTGTGTTGTTTTAAAGTAGTAACTCTCTGGTCTTAGGTTATAGCAGCAAAAAGCAAGAAATACTTTTTTTTTTTCTTTTGAGACAGGGTCTGGCTGTACACCAGGCTGGCCTCAAACTTCTGATCCTCCTGCTTCAGCCTCCCGAGCATAGGGTTATAGCAGTGTGTCATAAAACCCTAACTCAAAATACTGTTCCTGAAGAGCAGTGGGTGATGGGTAAAGGAGCCCCACCCCTCCTGCTCAGGAAAGCCACCCTGGGGATGAAGTCATCACACCTTGAATTGCTTCCATGTACAACAAAGTCCCCTTGGACTTCACATCTTGCTGTTATCCCACCTCACCACCAGCAGTTATTACCTAGCAGCGGGGGTCACCATGGCAGGGACTAGCTAAGCAGGGGCAGGGCGATCAGGCCGATAGGCTCTCAGTCCTTGTCCATCATCCCTGGGCACACCTGACAGTGCTGGGCAGCTGCGTACCAACGGATGAGCTTTGGTCTGTGCTGGCCACAGACCCTTCACCCGTAGCTGACCACATGTCCTGCTGTGACAGAAAACCCCAGGGCACACCCTCAGGGTCCCTGTACTTCAGTTGCTAGCACCCCATGTCCCCAGCCCTGGGAAAGCTGGAGTGGACACAAATGTCTGAACAGCGAGAATGGGGAGTGGTAACTCAGCCACTCCAGGGCAGCACACACACACATTCTGCAAATTTCATGTCCAAGCCTGAGGGCTGGCTTTTTCAGACATCCTGGATTTAAGGCCCAAAGGGACTTGGCCCATTTTGCCTTCAGCAAATAGGGAAAAGCAAGGCTGAGGCCAGAGGAAGTCAGCAGCTGCCTGGAATGGAATGAGGCAACCCCAGGACAGCTGCTGGCAGGCCAGCAGAGGATGCACAAGTGGGGGCCTTGAAGGCCACGCTGGGGGCCCAAGGCCTGCTGAGGAATGTCCTACCAAGGAAGGAAAAAGGGGCAGAAGAGGTGTTTGGGGGATTTGAGGGGAGGCTGGGAGGGGCTCTAAAAGCACTCAGAATGCCTGAATAAATGGGGACAGAGACAGGGAAGGGGTAACAGGACCAGCTGCAGACAGACCACCATCCAGACAGACCACCACTGTTGCCCGGCCACAAAGTTCCATGGGAAATGAGCCATGGAACCTGACCTCAGTAGCCAGGTCCCAAGTTTGCCACGGAGCTCCTCAAGGAGATGTTCACATGATATACTCTGGCATGCCCAGCTGTCCCATGCTGCCTCTTCCTAGGCAACAAGAGGCCAGGAGACTTGGTCAGGTACAGAGAGACCACTTGGGGTGTAGGCCTGCAGAGATCAGCAGCTCCCCTCACCCACTGAAGCCACAGGAGGCTCTCACCTCAATGGAGAAGACACCATTGAGTTCCACTCTTACTCTAAATTAGGCCCCTCTTTCCTCTTGGCCCTCTCCTCTGTGATGGGGCAAATGTGATGCTGATTGTCAACTCCTATTCATAACGGCTACCAACACCAAGTACTAGTGAAGTGTTTCTAGTAACTTGTTCTGACTTCATCATCATTCCCCAAACCCCTGTGCTAGGCAGCTTTCATCCCCATTGTGTACACAGGAGAACTGCCACAAGAGATGCACTACACCTCAAGGTTGCAGGTAGACAGGAGAGTCAGGGCAGGACTCAGAAAGAAGACAGGTCCTGCAGGTAGGAGGATGGTGGAAAGTACCTACCTATTTACCCTCCGGGAGATCCAGGGGACTCCTGCTTGGGGACAAGTGCTCAGGGCTATGCTGAGAACTTGCAAAGAAGGCAGAGACAGGACTAGCCTTAGAGCAGAGTCCCCAATATCCACCTCCTCGCCATACCTTTTAAACACTGGATCCAACTTTGAACTCATCAACTTCCCCAAGATCTATTCACCCAAAGTGGTGGTTCCTGTTTCAGAGAGCACTGCATCCATCCTTCCTCAACACTGGGGCCCTGTGTACTCCAAGGCACCTCTCTGCCTCCTCTAGAGGCCTCTATAGGTGCCCCCCTTCTCTCCTGCTAAGCCTATCCTGGGAAAGACACACAGAAGAGAGGACAGGGAGCCTTTCTCCTCTAGGGCCTGCTGCTCACTGTCCTGGACAGCAGCCCCATTACCACCACCATAACCATCACTATCGTCACCACCACCATCATAGCCAACGATAGCCTTGTCAGATATATACCTGCCTATGTAATTCTGACCCGCCAAGCCAGCCCTCAGTCTCACACCTCCAAGCCTTTGCTTGTGTTGTGCTCTGGCCTGTAATATCTCCCCCTTCGTTTCCCTTTGGTGAACTCCTTCCAGACCCAGCTCTAATGACTTCCCCCAAATCCCAAGCAAAGATGGGCTCCAGCCTAATTCCCTAGGGGTCTGGGTGGGGCCTTATTGCAGTCCCATACAGCTCTCCCTCAGGCTCCTAAGGACAGATCCCTCTGTCACAACACTCATTGCTGGCACCCAGTTCTGACCTGGCCAGGGGCAGCAGCAGCTGTGCCCACCTATCCCAGGATTCTGGATGAGGAGCAAGGACTGGTCCAAGGACTATGAAAAGTCTCAACCTTGCCCATTAGTGATGCCTCCAGGATCATGCTTCACTTAGTTGCCCTCAACACTTGTCTTTCCAGGGCTGGCCCGGGGAAGGATCCCAATTCTGCCTCCAAAGTCCTGGGAGGATGGCTCACTTCACCCCACAGTGATCCACTCTCTTATCTACGTGAGGGTCTGGGTGAATCCCCCACCACACTAGCCAGGAGGGACGTTGGCACCTGTTAGCGATGCCCTTCATCACCTCTAGTCCGATAGGTGGGTCTCCCTGACACCCAAGCTTGAGGGGTACAGGTGAGAACCAGGAGAGGATTAGAGAAGAGCCATTCTCTGCCAGATCCCACCCTATCCCGCCCCACCCCCAACACCACACACAGGCTTGCCCTCGCCGAGGAGAGGGGCCACCATCGAACCTAGGGAGGAGGGCGAAGTGGGCGACAGGGCTTGGACAGCCTGGGCTTTGGCCTTGTCCCCTTCCCCAAGCGGGGTGCAGAGGGTGGCACCCAGAAGGAGCAAGGGGAGGGGTATGGGCGGAGGGGTAACAGGAAGGGGACTTACAAGGAAGAGGAGGAAAACCGGTCTTGTCGCTAAGCGGGCCACAACAGCTTTAGGAAAATGACTCCGGAACACCCAGGGAGCGGTGGAAAAGGCCCCTTGCCGTGGGCTGAGGGGGAAGATGGGGTTTAGCACTGGGCATTGGGACCGATCTTCAAGGCCCCGCCTCCGCAGGCCTGGGGCCGCCGCTTACCTCCCGCCCCCGGCCGGTGGGATGTGCAATCCCCTACTCCGATCGCCTCCGGAGACTGCACTGGCTCGCGCTGCACCTGCACACACACCCCTGAAACACAAGCACGCGCGCTCGCACACGCCTCCCTCGGCGCAGCGCCTCCTACCTGCCGCGGCGGCTCCGGGGACGCAGGCACCGCGCGGCTGCTGGAGCGGACGCTGGACCCGGAACGCCGTGACCGCCTGCGCTGGCCAGAGATGCAGCCCAGGAGGCCCTGGGTGGGGCCGGAGCTCAGGCTCTCTGGATTCTGCCTACCCCGCCTCGCCCCACAGCCTCCGCCCATTGGAGGCCAGAGGCGTGGTCTTGGAAGCTGGCTGGGCTGCGCGCATGCGAGCTGGCGCTGCGCGGTGGGGGCAGGCGCGCAGCGAGGTGGCCGTGGAGTGGCTACCGCTGGCCAAGCTGTGCCTGTGAGTCTCTTTCCTCCCTTCAGCAGTGGCCAAGCATCCCCGGAAGCTCTCCCGGGCGGAGCTCAGCCTGGCAGCCACCCGAGGGCTGGCTACATAGCACCGGATAAGAACTGGAGAGACCTGCGCGGACCTGCAAGCCCCGCCAAGCCGAGGGTTTATCGAGGAAACCGGGTGTCTCTGGGTGTGGGTCTTGTACTAGGAGTCTCTGTAGCCGAAACAGGTTAGCCACGAGAAGAAGGACTCCTTGAAGGGAGCACCCCTGCCTTGCAGGGGTCTCCTAGGTCCCATCCACTCCAAGGTTTTTGACTGGAGTATCGGGAACTCAGGCCCACCTTGGGAGACTAGGAGAGGGTGGGCGTTGTCAGAAGAGGAAAGCTGGTTTCCTCCACCTGTCCTGAGCGTTTAGCTGTGCCCTGCATGACTAGAGAGCCGCAAAAGAAGCCGGGATCCTGGGCTTACTTACATTTGTGACTGTGGCTCAGTGGCTCCCAGAATGCCCTGGAAGGCACCAAACCTAGATTCCTAATGTACAAAATGGGACCTGTAATGCTCACCCAGATGGGGCAATTTGGGGAACTGCTGGAGAAGGTTTATGGTTGACCAAGCTGGCACACAGTAGACCTGGGGTGAGCGTCCTGTCTGCATCTCCGAGGTGCAGGTGATTATTCACCTGATCATGCAGGCTGCTCTCTGTCCACCTTGTAGGGGAGACCCTTCGACTCTGACCTACTCTCCCAATTTTCCAGTGTTACTTAATGGTTTCATCTACTTGGCAGCCACACAAACTTCTTCCACCTTTGCCTCTTCCTTTCTACCCATCAAGCGTCCTTTAAGTTTTAACACACACACACACACACACACACACACACACACACACACACACACACGCACACACGCACACACGCGCGCGCGCACACACACACACACACACACACAGCTTCCCACCCAGAGCCATCTATCCTGCTATCCTGCTAAGGAGAACTTTCACAGATGTAACCTAAGTGCAGTATTCTAGAGACTACCCTTGGCCCCTCCCCCACTGCCTGGAGCCTCTTTCCTCTGCCTGGGTCCTGGGTGCCACAGCCCCTGGCCAGCCCCTGGATGCTCATCTCAGGGTGTCTGCTGTCTCCACCCATCATGTTTACCATGAAAAGCTCATCCACACATGGCTCAGTCTTGCCCTGCCCCCATGGCAACTCCACAAAACTCCATTGCTCCCCTTCAGCCTCCCCACCCTCCCCACTCACCGTTCCTCCAGCATGCTGCCTCAATCCAGGTCTCAGTTTTCCCAGAGAAGCCCAGCTCCTGAAAGGCACAGCCAAGGCCACTCAGGGACATCGCAGTGCTTGGTCAATCCAAATAGATCTAGGCTCCTGTCTTCATGCAGCTAGTTACTTGCTGCGTGATCTAAATGCTGTGTCCTCTCCCAGCCTCATTTTCCTGATCTATTGAATAGGCTTGTAGCAGAAGTATGTAATGACTAGTTATAAGGAAACATGGGCTCAATTCGGGGCATGACCAGCAACTCCCTCACGTTCTAAGGTGAAGCTGGGGTCTTATCTGAGAAAACCAGTTTGATCTGTCTCTGCGCACAAAACACGGGGTTTGCAAGGATGCTCAGGTCCCCTTTTGTATCTCAGGGCCTTGGAGCCACAAAAGGAGTATTACATGGTGATTGTGTTGGCTCATCAGCTGGTAAACCTTGGAAAGGGCCCCAAATCTACCGTAGAGCCAGCACAGTAGCACCCATCCCTCAGTTGTGGGGACTGACTGAATTGATCCACCAAGAGCCCTTACAAGGGCCCTGGATGTTTCAGTCTGGCTCAAACTCCTCATGATGTAAAGACACTGGTCCCCAGAAACAGAGACCTGTAGACATGGCATTCTGCAGTGTTAGGACTGTGTGTTTGAGTCTGGAAGCTTTCAGCTCAGAATGATGAGACCAGAGTCCTAGAAAGAAACAGAATGACCTTTTCTGGGCACTCAGTGTACTGTGTGTGTCTGTGTGTGAGAGGGTGGCTTTGCTTCTGGGGGTAAGGTCTTAGGAAAAGCTAGCCCTGCCCAACAAGTTTGAGGAAGAGGTGGGGTCCTGATGGTACTTGGCCCGAGGATCCTGCTGGTTAGTTTTTATAAGCTTAGTCATTTAATGGTGCCATTAAAGGAGCTGATGTGTAGGTGTTTTTCCATTTAATCAACTACCCAGTGCAGGAGCCTTTATTAGTCTCACTTTGTAGATAATAGAACCGAGCCTTAGGTAGATGCCCCAGGTCACACAATTAGTAAACTGCAGAACTGGATCCAGAGCTACCTGAGACTCCGGTCTACTCTTGTGCCCCTTCCCTCTCCTACTTCCCCAGCCTTTAGGGAAAGGCCACTTCTGCAGGTTGCTTTACCGACTGGCCAACCTTTGCTCAGACCCCTGAATCTGGGAAGTCATTTCCTCCCAGGACAGCCCTTTCCCTCCCTCTACTTGGGAGAATATCTTGTCACCCAGAGCAGAGCCAACCTTTCTTCCTGGCTCTATAGGACTGTATACCCCTCAGCCCACCAGTGCCTGAGAACAAAATATTCTCAGTTGTAAGAGCAAAGGTCCAGGCAGTCACACAGAACTATTGCTTGTGAGTGTTGCTAGTGCCCTTCTAGTGGTGGAGAAAGGGCAGAACAGATGTTATACAAAAGAGATTCCGCTGTACAAAAAACCGCCTTTGAGTTGCGTAGAATTTCCTTCAAATGCTGCTTATATTTCATTACTATCTTCTGTATTAAAAACTCATCCAGAACTGGGGATGTGGTTTGGATGGTGGGATGCTTCCCCAGCACGCACAAGGCCCTACATTGGAAGAAAATAAAATAAAAAACTATGAGCTAAATATGAGGTGCCTATAATCTCAACTACTGAGGAAGCTGAGACAGGATGATCACTAAGTTAAACACCACCCTGGGAGATTATTTGCTTAGCAAGACCTTGTTTCAAAATTTAAAAAATAAAAAATTTCAACAGGATTGAGGTTGTAGCTCAGCACAAAGATCCTGAATTCAATAGCCAGTATTGGGGGAAACAAAAAAGACTCCTATGCTGCACCTAACAGGGGAAACTGTATGGATTAAGAATCTGAGTGTAACCAAACACCCGATATGTTTTAGCTCTGGCTGCTACAACAAAATAATGTAAACTGAAAATAGTGTAAACTGGGTGACTTATAAATAATAGAAATTTGTTTCTTCCATTTCTAGAGGCTGCAAATCTCAGGTGAGGATTCCAGGGCAGGTTCTTGTAAAGGCCACCTTCCAAGCTATAGAGGTCTGGTTTTACCCTTACATGGCTGAAAGAGAGCAAGGGGGCTCTCTGGCCTTTCTAGAAAGCACCTAGTTACCTCCCAAAGGTCTTACCTCCAAAACCTAGTTGTCCCTTGGTTTCCACTCAGGGTATTAGTTCCATGACCTCCTTAGATACCAAACTACAGTGATGCTTGAGTCCCTTAAGTAAAGCAGTGCAGTTTTTCATACAACCTATCTACATCCCAGGAATACTGTAGATGCTCTCTAGATTACTTACCTGATACAATATAACTGCTATATTAGATGTTGTACTGTATATTCTTTAGAGGATAATAATGAGAAAAAATATCTTTCAATATAGATGTAGCATATTTATTTGTTTATTAGCTCAGGGTGGCATCAGACTTGTAATCCCTTTGGCTTGGCAAGGGAGAACGTATTCATTTCATGGCACCGTACAAGGTTTGGAAGAAATGATGGATAAATTTTTCTTTAACTTGGATGTTGGGAAAGACTTTCTAACTGTGATTCAGATTCCAGAAGTAGTAAAAGACTGATAAATTTAACTACATAAAAAAATTGCATGGCACATATTTTTTGACATGAAGAGTCAAAAACAACTAAAAAACTGGGAGAATATATTTATAATACATACAAGTGGGAGTGAGGATTACCAATCTATAACTATTTTTTACTTCTTTGTCAGACAGAGTCTTGCTAAGTTGCCCAGGCTGGCCACAAACACACAATCCTCCTACCTCAGCTTCCCCAGTGCTGGTGTTACAGGCATGTACCATCATGCCTGACTGAAATAACCTTCCTGTTTTTCTTTCAGTGTTGGGGATCGAACCCAGAGCCTCACACATGCTAGACAAAGATGTGGTAGTTCATCCTGTTATCTGGCAGGCTGAGGCAGAAGAATGCCAAGTTTGAGCCCAGCCCAGGCAACTTAGTGATTTAGTGAGATCCTATCAAGAAATAAAAAAATTTAAAAGGATTGAGGATGTTGTTCAAGACCCGGGTTCAAACCTCAGTAAAGCACACACACACTTACGTGCAGAATCACTCCTCACTCCTCACTTCTCCCTTTGCCACAGTTTTTGGCAACCACTAATTCACAGTCTCTTTGGATTTGCCCACTCTGACATTTTGTATAATGAAATCATATAATGCGTACCCTTTTATTTCTGTCTTCTTTCACTTAGCATATTGTTTTCAAGGCTCATTCATATGGTAACATGAATGAGTACTTTATTCCTTTTTATGGCTAAATAGTAATTCATTGCGTAACTATTCCAGATTCATTCATCTATTCATACATTTAAGATTTTCCATTTTTTGCTTACTATGAATAATACTTCTATGGACATTCATGTAAAATAGACATTCTATTCAATAGTCCAATTCTCATGGGTATATCTAGGAGTTGAGTTGTTGGTCCTAAGGTAATTCCATGATGGTGGGGTGGTTTGTTTGTTTGTTTTTTGTGTGTGCCGGGACTTGGTCTAGGGCAT